CCGTCACAAACAGCTGGCTATCGTGCAAGGATAAGACGGCATCGGCGAGACAGCTTCCTTGCGGCTTTCACTGCCCCGCGTCATAATCAGCCATTACCTCGCAAATAACTCAGCACCAAACACACTTTAAACAGGCAATCCAATTAGGAGACAGAAGCAGACGCGCCACTGGTGTCGGCTGCGAGCCATGTCCTGCAAAGTCTTGAGCCAAGCACAAGGCGAGTCACGTGGACTCCAACCCGGAAGGCGAGACGGACCAACGGCACCTAGTTTGGTCGTCAGTGACTTCATTTCCCGCTGCCAAGTCAACTTCGGTCCACCTCGAGTCTTGTGCCATCCTACACCTGGTAGACTGAACAAGGCCCTCCTAGGTAAGCGGTGATCAGGCATACATAGCACGTGCCCGAGTCAACCCAACTTATTCAGTGCTATCTGTTGTTCTAGGGAGCTAGCATGATTATCACCACCTAGTACTCGCCTACGCACATCATCGTTGCGGACACGCTGGTGCCATCCGACTCCAGCAATGTTTCGCAGACAACGATGATCAAAGACTTGAAGGCGCCTCAGATCTTCAGACCGAAGGGGCCAAGTCTCACTACCATAGAGCAGAACGGCCCTCACTGTGGCCTTGTATACACGGCCTTTCAGACAGAGGGAAACTCCCTTCTGTCGCCAAAGATGCCGCAGGTTCAAGAAGATAGCTCTGGCTTTTGCAATGCGTGAGCTGACGTCAGTTTCTATGCGCCCATCATTGTTGACGCAGCTGCCAAGATAAGTGAAATGATCAACCACCTCAAGTTTCTCGTTAGCAAGGGTCAATGGATCATCAAGTGGCTGGTGGTCCTGCACCAACACTTTGCACTTTGAAGATGCGAAGTGCATACCAAATAATAGGACCACTCTGGACAGGCTATTCAGGGTTGATTGTGCTGCCCCGACATTGTCGAAAAGCAAGACGATATCGTCCGCATAATCTAGATCAACTAACCTTCCACCAGGTAGCGCTTCAACGACTACATCGTGAGATTCCGCAAGGGAATACCCCATGATAGAATCCAATACGAAATTGAACAAAAACGGGGAAATCGGACAACCCTGACGAACGTCACTTGTGGTCGGAAAGCTCTCCGATAGGAAACTGTAGACCCTGACGCGGCCTGTAGTGTTCGAGTATAGTGCACGAAGGATGTTCACATATTTCGTGGGAACACATTTCCGCGCAAGTATTTCGAACAGAATCGATCGATCGACTGAATCGAACGCACTCTTGAAATCGAGGAACACAGCTATTGTCGGTCTGCGGTATGCGTGGTGCTGCTCTAGCACCTGCCGCAAAGTGAATGTATGGTCCATACAGCCACGTCCAGGGCGGAAACCGACCTACTCTTCCCTAATCCGAGATTCCCGTTCTGCAGTGAGGCGACGAACGATAATCGAGGCCAGTAATTTTGTCACAACTGGTGTTAGGCTAATACCCCTGTGGTTACAACAGTCTGTGCGACTGCCCTTCTTGTATATTGTTACTATAATCGATTCGCTCCAATTAGTCAGGACACTTCTTTGCAGACACATTCGAATAGGGAGGTCAGTGCTTTGCAGAGGACCTCACCTCCATCCTTAAATAGTGCAGGTGGGATGGAATCCGGGCCAGCCGCACGAAAACGATTGAGGACTGTGATCGCGTTTCGGACCTCGGCCTCCGATGGAGGCTCTAAACTAACCGTCCATGGCTCGTCCTGCATCACCTGAGTAGGAAGAGGTCCGGGAGCAGGGGGCCAGCTGAACTGATCTTGAAAGTGTTCTGCCCAACGAGCCATACGGCGCTCCTTATTGTGTATCTGCGCACCCGCGCTGTCTCTGATTGTCTCACTGACGCCTGGTTTTCTGGGACCAGTGGTGCGGATTAGCTGGAAGAGCTTGTGGTAATTGCCTACTGTTCCTGCCTCCTCCATTTCTTGAGCCCTACTGGTCCACCAGGCTTCCTTGTCAGCACGTAGGCTCTGCTTTAGTTCACGCCTAATAGCCCGTCTGGTCACATTGTGTTCAGAACCAGCCGGGAGGTGTCTTCTAGATTCCAACAGATTCACTGACCTCTCGGATATCCAGTGACTGGTGCGGTGACCATTGATAGTGCCACAAGCAGATGCTCCTGTGTCATGCATGGCGGCCGAGATCCTATTCCACTGAAGCTCAGTGTCATTAAGACAAGACAGCGGAAGTTCGGTATATAGTGCTTCTTGATAGGCTTACCTGACCGAGGACTGAGACAATTTCTCCGTTGCCAATCGTAGGGGACACTTGGTGCGCCTCCCGGTAAAGTTCATGGAGAAACGACAGCGTACCAAGCCATGATCAGAGTCGACACAAGTACTCCAGTATGAGCAGCAATCCAGGATGGAACCACGCCATCTGTAACTTATGGCTAGGTGGTCAATTTGGGTCCATTGCTGGCCAGCTACAGGAGGACGCCAAGTGGCACTTCGGCGCCCACTGTGTCTAAAAGCAGTGCTACTAAGAAACAACTGGTGCTCCGCACACAGTTGCAGCAGACGCTCACCGTTGTCAGTCCGTTCGGAGTTAAGCCCACAATTACCACCCAGCTGAGCTTCTGAAGAGCTCAGACGCCCTACTTGTGCGTTCATATCCCCTGCAAGTACTATAATATCTGAACTAGTAGCACTGCGTAGTAGCGCGTTCAGTTCGTCATAGAATGTGTCCTTGACAGTATTTGAACTGCAGTCGGTGGGAGCATAAGCGGAAATCACAAACAAACAGCGTTTTGTACTACTTCGTGAATCAACCTTAGCTGATGTCGTCAAACGGGTTGCACATAAACGGCTGTTCACCGGAATCCAATCAACCAACGATGGCTCAGCCTTGGAGCTTAGAATGATACCTACACCAGCTTGACCCGTGAGTGCTGCATCGGCGTCTCCGGATGCGTGCAGCCAATAACGAGAGGATAAGCCGGGTGCAGTTAATTCAATAACCCCGTTAGGGTCATTGATCCTAGTTTCGGACACACAACACACATCAATACCCAGTGTGTCCAAGGTGCGTGCGAGTGCAGCCTGTTGAGCTGTTTGTCTTAGAGTGCGAACGTTGAATGTCGCCATGGAAACAGGATAGCGTGGCCTTATAAGGGACTGTTGCCGATAAGCGTCCGATAGGTGCAGTGGGATGGTGGCTGCAGATGGTTCTACTCCAGTGGCACTTCGGTTGCTGTCAATTAAGCTGGGAATTATAGAAGGAAGGTTAGTAATGGGGGTCGGGATGGGAGTAAGAGAAAAAGGTGGAAAAGAAAGAAGGGAGGCGCCAGCAGTAGCATGTTTTCGCTTATCCGCCTCTGCTGTATGCAGCAGATAAGGCGACCCTTGATAATCTGCGCGACGGCCGATGCAGGATGAAGTTTATGTTTGAAGAAAATGTCATGGTTGTATGTGGGCTGAGATGCTGCCAGGGCGCCCAGACCTAGACAGGACGATTAGGGTCCTCATCCAAAGCCTTCGGCTCAAAAGCCTCTCCGCAAGGCAGCGGGGAGGTGGCAATGATTTAGTTTTACAGAAATGGACGCCATCCCATTTCAAACCCCCAACCTGGAGGACCAGGAGACTGGGTTTGTCTGACCTCTCACCATTGACCAACCTGGTAGGAGTAGCTCTCAAGATGCTCGGAGGCATCACCCAGTATAGCTCAATGAGTCAATGAGGTACGCTAACCGTCGCACCACGTTAAGGTCCAGGAAGATTAGGATTCTCGTCCATAAGCTGGCTCAAAGACATGTGTGCTAAGCAGTATAAACACAGCAACTGCTCATAAGGTTTGCCATTTGTTAGGAAAGACAGTACCCTGGTTGAAACACAAAGCTGGAAAGCCAAAAATTAGGTTCCCTTGTCTCAAAGCATCCTATTGGTGAGTAGATCTCAAGTTGCGTCAAAGCAGTACTAGAACGAGTCAATAAACTGGAGTGGTGAGCAAACTGTCGCAAGGTTGTTCATGTGCAGGATCACCCACAGCTGGAGAAAGCACTGGGTGAGCAATCCGGAATTCCGTCACTAGGGGAATGGTAACCGGTCCATTAGTGAAAAAAGTATTTCTGGCGGGCACGAACAGCTCATATCGGCTGTCATTCATGTCGCATGTTTTACGACTGGTTTCGTCGGCGTATGCTATGTCCTAAGATCACATAGATTGGTGGAACCCCATGGAGACCCGCAGATGATGTCAAGGAAATGAACTAGGACTGTGGTTGTTGCAGGCCGACCTACGTATGGGCTTATTACGCATGGACGCGGTCAGAAACTGCCGCAGATGTGCAGACCCGAAGTCAACGGAGCTCTCGAGTTTCATACCATACCAGTGAGATTCCGAAAATACCCCGCTGACTGGAAAGTCTGATAAAACTTGAGTAGGCCCCCATAGCTCATCCCTCATATTACTCGCATTTTCGTCAGTATTGTAATAACTTTGTGCCCATGCGACGAAATAACTCGCATTTCGGTCAGCGGACCTAAGGTCTAGTTATGTTGTAACAATATGCAAAGTAAAGGGGAAAAGAGGGAACCGGTTATGAAGAAAAAACGCATTAGCAATACGTCAGCACACCGCAATGACGCTTTGCTACCAGGCGACTACCAACAGCCATATGAAGGCTGAGTGTATCGCGAGGTCGTCTGCACCTAGGCGGATTCGAACCGGTGATCGCCGGCTTACATCCCAGGTGTGTAACCCTTTCGGCTACTGGTCGACAAAAGTTGGTGGCATAAGCAGAAAAAAGGTACCAGCAGTACGCCGGCATGCAGTATCGACGCTTCGTCGCCGCACAATCACCACTATTCACACGGGGGCTAACGACATTGCGAGGGTCATCCAGTCCTCACGCAAGCTCGAACCAGCGTCCTCGGATTACGACGCAGGCTTGTGATCCTTAAGGCTACGGGCAGGCAGGAGGCAGACCAAAAAATTTTCGATAAAACGTTTCACCATAAACGACTCACAAGCCAGGAAACTGAACGGTTGACGAAATCGGGATCAGCGAGCAAGTCGACTGTAGGTAACAGAACCGTACGAACTAGAAGCTCCTAGAGAGAGTAGTAATTAATGGGTTCGAGGTACTCTTGCGATGTAGCGGATGGCAGGGACACGATACTCCTCCGAGGGTAAAATAAAAAACAAAAACATCTCAGAGAGGCTACGGAGGTATTCTAAACAACTGATTGTTAGCAACACAGTGAAACCATACTCTCTTCCTCGTCTTTGGAAATACAAATTTGTTCCCGACAAGTAGTCTTCTCAGATTCCCATTCACAGTCGAAAAATAGTTTTATTGGGTCTAGCACACATTAGAGAACTTGTCTTGAACAAACCTTTATTAGGGCTATCATCAAGCCGTCCTAGCATGAGGCGATAGAGCCTGATGTGGGAAGCCATATAAACAGGAAGCGATTCTGTCAAGAAAGGTGTCCAGTTATTTTGCGAAATGCTTCAGGCAACGTGAGAAACAAACAATAATTGCATACCTTCCAAGTAAATTTGTGACAATCTGCTGCAAAAGTCTATGTAATTCGTTTGGGAAGATCACATCTGAAGTAAGAGTTGAGTACCAGGAATAAATGTAGTCTCGAAGAATGTAGGAAATAATCTGAAATGTTTTGGCACATACGGGCCGAACAAATCAACAAACCTGATTTAGCACGACATCCAAAGCTGGTGAGGATGACAACTTAATTTTCGGCCTGTACACACCAGTGTAGTCCATGGAAGCAGTGACCTAGTTTCGAAAGTCACTTGATTGCTGAAAACTGACTGCAGGCAGTCCTTTGCTTATCTCGCATTTACGCTTTAAATATTTTATGGGAGGCATCGGTGTGCCCATTGAAAACACCAAGCTAAAAACTAGGATTTCTAAAGACATAATACCCCAGTAAGAAAAAAATGCATGCAACAGCGACATAGAGGAAAGGCGCGGGACCGTAGTGGGTGACGACACATAACGCCGTTAGTATTGTCAGTGTTTTCCATTTCATAATGCTGAAAATAGCTCAACACATTCCCAGGGAACGGTACAAAGAGATCAGGTCAGGTAAAACGCGAGCGTCGTGCTCGCCAGCTGCTGCGAGAGCGCCGGATTAATCGAAAACAGCTGATCGTAATTTGGGTGCGGTACTATTTGCTGTACTGGCTGCTAAGGAGAAATGTTATGAAATACCTTGGTAAGTCTTGAAAAGATTTATTAAATGTATCTTAATGTAGGGCAACTGAAAATGGTGATACATTATTTCACCGTGTATGAAAGAGTGTTTGTTATAGTGCGCAGGTGTTGCTTCGTTTCGATGCAATGGCTGTGGTTGATACTGTTGTGTTTCGCGCTAAGTTTCGCTAATATTATAAGGCATTTAATGAATTGGAATAAGATTTGAGGTGGTTTCAAGTTCAGAAGGCGACCAGGTTTTACAAATATGACGTACTGACCGCTGTGTCGTATTAGAACAGGTCAAGAGGTACCCGACGGGATGCGGTACAAATGGGTACAACATCGTTGTGTCCACTGCAACAGAAAAGAAGTTGGCAGTCGGTAAGTGCAAACGTTTTCTCAAGTGTACTTAGTGTCGCAGTAGGTATGTCAGCCTCGGTTGTAAAACGAGCGTAGCCATCTGTGCGAAGGGTATTGACTAGGAGATACTCTCGCATTGTTTACTGCATAACCATAAGTTCCACTTGGGGAATCCATGTTTGTACGTTAGTAACGGGCGCCTAACTCCCTAGGCAGAGTGGCAAGTGAGTTGATGCAGTCCTTCGTTAATACCGGAGAACGGCGAGGCTGTGTTAGAAACGTATAACAAACGATTAAATCGACTGGACCTCTTTTCTATCCGCCATCGATTAGGTGTAACCTCTGAGGAGAAAGATTTAAACGCAATTGCAGAATTGAGTAAAAATGGCGCTGGGCCTGTAGAAAGGGATGGTTCGCAGGTGCGATTCCTATTTTTCCTTCCTTCATCGAGGAATTCCCTAGTGGAGAAATACGGGGACGTGCTTCTTGCAGATGCCATGGATCAGGTGAACTTGGTTGGTTACATTATTTGGCACTGCATGGTAATTGAGGTTTCGGGGTAGGTCGCAGCGTGTTTTATGCTTCGATTTCCAACCAGACGGCAGGCAGTTATCTGGAGGTTTTTCGGGGGATGTCAGAAATTTTGCCCACCACTCAATCAGCGAAGGCTATAGTTTTGGATAGGTTCCTTGAGCAAATGAAGACATTTAGGTTGGTATGTCCACGGGCCATGGTAGTATTATGCCGGTTCCATTTCCTGGGGGTCGTTTCACGCAAATGCCGGTCTCTGTCAAAAGAGAAGAAGGCGGACAGTGTTGTACTGAAGCAGTGGATGCGCAGATTATTCTACACAAAGACCGAATAACAGTTTAAGCTGCTGCTTAGAGCTATAAGCGGCTGATACAAAAAAGTATTCACTTATCTCTGTCGGACGTCATTTCACTTTGCTGCAAGCTTGGCGTACCATAGATTGCGCAAAGTGAGCCTGTTTGGTGCGTTCACCACAGATTGGAAAACGAGAATAAACATCTGAATTGTGGCTTAAGCAAAAGGTGGTCGCTTTTGCAACTTTTTGAGGTCGTTGTCCGGAGAGCAAGCGAGGCAGAATGACGTTGGACCACGTCGTTAGCCCAATTGCGGGTGTCGAAAGTACACACCATTCCGGGAACTGGGCAGGTGAAGGAGTTGGATTCTTTTCTGTCTTCTTATGCTGCTGGCATATTTTCGCGTCACATTTTTTCAGGGACGGGCACACCAGTACTACCTAACGGCACTGGGTATGATGTATTAAGCAAGGGCGACCGCAGGCACCTGGTTGTGATGGGTACTGAAATGAGCTGCGGTTGCTCGTTCGTAAGTCAATGGGATTTGCCATGCGCACGTATTGTGCAGGTTGCTGACACGTTAACCGGTGACATAACCCCGCTTATACACCGATGCCGCTGGTCAATGCGGGACAGTTAGATTTATGTCCCTGATTGCGAAACATTATTTGGGGAACTTCAACCGATGCTCTCTTCTTCTTCCTCCCCGCAAACGGCGTTAACGAGGGAGCAGAAGTTGTGCCAACCAGCTCTTCGGTGATATAACTGTTGCCATGACCAGTCTGGGTACCTTGGCTTTCCTTGAGGCGGAGCGGTTCTACCGAAGCGGCCTGAATACGTTGCTACGAAGGCAAAGCTTGGTGTCAGTTGGAAACTGCCTTCCTGAAAACCTGGACCAGGCTGACACCATACCACAACGTAACCGCCCCAATACAACCAAAAGGAAGCAGTCACTCTCGGCTAGGGTGACGGAACCCCCGCAGCTGTCGACCGAAAAACCTCCACTGTAATTCTGACGCATCCCGACTGTCACTTCTGCGGTGTACAAAACTGAGAATAAATGCGCCAGAGCAGGGATTATGCAACCTGCAAACAAGAAGGAAAAGCCGTGCATACTTTGCGACACCGGGGATGAACAAACAACCGGCGGAAACCCCGTTCACTTGGTTATGTGCTGCAAATGCAACAGATGGCTTCACCAGGTATGTGCGGCGTACAACAGAGACGACCAGCACTATGCTTGCATCTTTTGCATATGAGTTCACCTTTTCCTAACTGAATTTCTATTCATGCATGCACACGAGTACGATAAACCGGTCCTTTTCAGGGACACCCTCTGGTGCTGCAGCGGTATGCTTCTCCCGGATGGTAACTCATGCTGCACGAAAGCTGCTGGGTACCGCATGGAACCTACCGTATGACAATCTAGTGGGTGGCTCTACGAACGACCATCACGCCTTAATGTTTATTTGTGTTACAACAGAACCCCATTCTTAGAAGCAGTTCATGTATACCGTATGCCAAGCGTACCGTAGCTAAACATGCTTGTCAAGTTAGCATGGCTTGACACAGACAGTGGTGAGCCGTTTTCGCCCTGTAGTATGTATGTGCACAGTATTACTTCTTCACCTTGGCTACACATGTCTTTCCATGCCCAAGCCATTGGGAATAATTGAGGGTTCAAACCGACCGCAAGCTCTGCTGGGATACATTCTGTGAAGCCGGCAACATGCAATAATTACCGGTGTCCAGGCTATAAGAGCGGGCATTTAACTCCATTGCTTTTGCTAAAATCTATTTCATATCTTCAGTGGAGTCGGGAGCACCTGATACTTGCCGGCCACCAGCTTATTAGAGTAGTCCGTTAGCTCTGTTGCATATGGAAGCATTGCTGTGACATCTGTGGAGCTAGCAGACTCTAACACTTAAGAGCGGCCAGCTTATGTGAGTAGTCAGTGACCCCTATCGCATATGATAGCATCGCTGTGACAGCTTAAGTAGAGTCTAGATCATCTAAAAATTACCGGCCGCCAGCTTACATTAATTGTCACTTAGCTATATTGCGTTTAAAAGTAAATGAAAAATATATTCGAATATTAAGTGGGGTGGGGACTACCTAAAACTTACGGACCCCAGCTTATGTGAGTAGTCAGTCCGCTCTATTGCATGTGGTAGCATTGCTGTGACATCTTCTGTGGAGACAACGACATCTAACACTTCGGAGCGGCCAACTTATTGGAGTAGTCAGTTAGCTATATTGCACACTACAGCATTACTGTTAGTCAATATATGAAGCGGGCAACTTACGTTGCTTAATGCCCTATCTTCCTAACCACAAAAGCCCTATCTTCCTAACCACAAAAGCCATATCTTGCATGTATACAAACGCTCAAGGCCTTCGAAGCAAGTTGGCCGAACTTAGAGAACTCCATGCCTCACAACCGCGGGACCTCGTCATGATTACAGAGACATGGTTAAACCCTGAGATAACCGACTGTGAGATCAAGTTACCCGGTATGTCGCTGCTTCGGACCGATAGAACCGGATTGGGTGGTGGTGTGATACCTTACTATAATACAAGCCTCCGATGTGAAGTTATCGATCACCCGGGAATCCGAGCTCCCGATTCGCTTTGGTGCCGCCTTTGGTTGCGAAACAAGGACACATGTCTACTAGCCGTGGTTTATCGCCCGCCAAACGCAACGTCGGAAATGGACTCCAAACTGTACCACGTTTTTCAGTTTGCTTTGAACAATTCCTACACCCACATTCTTATCGCGGGAGACTTTAACGTGCACGACATAGAAACGCCGACAACTGACGGTACGCAGTTTAAAGCCTGTTTGCAAGAACTTATTGCTAGCCACCCTCTTTACAACCACGTAACCTATCCCACCAGATTTTGAACTTCTAACAAGCCGTCGATACTGGATCTTGTGCTAACTAACGAAGAACTCATGGTTGGCGGGATAGTTACAAGCACACCACTGGGTCGTAGTGATCACGTCACTCTACTCTTTGATTATATAAGCTATGCCGAGTACCCGGAGAAGGAGGAGGATAAAGTGCGCACTGTCACGCACTACAATGTGTTGTCCAAGCTTGTTAAGGATACATCTTGGACTTTCTTAATCGAAGGCCCCCCAGATCTGGCCTGGGATATGTTTACAAGGACTTTGAGCACACTGGTAGCGCAAGCATCGGAACAGAAGTCCTTCCAACCCAATAACCGGAGTATGTCATTTCTGAGGAGCAGAACTCGTAAATGTATGTCCCGGAGGGATTTGGCATGGCGAAGTCACCAGGGTTGCCCGAATGCTGAAACCTGGACTGCATACGTGACCCATCGTAACTTATGTGTGAAACTGATCCGCGAAGACAAGGTCACGCATCAGCAGAAGTTAATGAAGCGATTCTGCACTTACCACAAACTCCTGTACAGGCACATTAACGGCTTTCGAAAGGTAAAGCGATGGGTTCCGGCGCTAGTCACGGCTGATGGATACACGCGGTCAGCAATGGAAGCAGCTGATCTCCTACGGCTTCATTACTCCCAAACGTTCCAACAAGTGTCGAGCCCAAACATTCACCTCATTTATAATACTCCACCATCTGGTTTAGAAAACACCTTCACTACGGAGGCTGTGTT